GAAATCCGAAAAAGAAGGAAAAGAAGATGGGAACGATGAAGGAAGACTAAGCCATAGGGAAGGGGGTTGAACCCCTGAATGGGGGTTCGGGTTGCATGGGATGCACAGTGGACGGGATACCTTCTCTCGAGGGGACGGACAGGGGGCTGTACGGGGACCCCACCCAACTCGACCTCTCAAGCGTGTACAGGAGCACACGGGGAGAGAAACGGAAAGTTCCAAATGAGAAAACCGGATTTCATCCTGACCGCGATGGTTGAGCAGGGGAAGCCAAAGAAAATTTCGACCCTGCATCATGACTCCATGCAGAAACCCTCAACCTGCTCCCTCCTTTTCCGGAAGAAAGAAGGCCGTAGATCTGCGCAGAGGAGCTCGTTAATTTATTTTTTTCTACCCTCATATATGAAGTCAAGCGGGGAATTCGTTTATCCGTTATGAATTACTGGCATGAATTGTTTGATGATGTAATCTGTCCATTTAAGTCTTACGATCTCATTCAAACGAATGTTCCCCCTCCCCTATGGGGTGAGAGAAACCTCAAAAGAAAAAAAACAAAAAACACAACGTTAAATTTACATTGTCAAAATCACCACGCCCTCCCCTCCCCCTCCTCTCCAAAATAAATAAATAAATGAAACATGTACTAGAAAACGTCCAATAATCAAACAGGAGATCGACCAACCCCACGTTTGTTTTCCGCGGTGGGGTTAGCCTCCTTTGGCCTGCTTGCGAATTGAATTTTCCTTCGTTCGCTGCTCGACACGATCCAAGGCATCCATGGTCGCCTTCCGCAGCTTTTCCGTGGTGGAGACCTTTCGCATGTTTTCCCGCCATGCCGAGCGCGTTGCGACGACGCGATCGCGATTTAGCCGTCCTGGATTCCCCGCCGGCGTCGTGAGGCGCCCGCCGGGGGAGCTGTTGCTTCCCGTTCCCGTTTTTTCGGGATCCATCGAAAGCGACGGCCGCCAGCGCGAGATGGAGGAGGAGCGGATGCTGCTCGTACTCCCCCCACGCGGTTCCTTCTCCGCCGAGGCCTTCCCCCCGACGCCCCAGATTTTTTCCAACGAGGACTCCTTCACCTCCAGGTCGGTGATCCGGCCTTCGTAGACCTGACGGAGGAAATCGAGCT